AGCAGCACGATCGTAAAGGGGGCATGTACACCATAAGAATCGATGGCTGTTTTCAAATCCTTAATCACTTTGAAACCAAGGGGGAGGTAAAACCGCGGCCATGGGGGGCCTCCCTCAGATCCTCGTGAACAGGGAACACCTGGCCGGGCTCCACAAGGTCCCGCCAGCTGAATCCGGCACCCCTCTCTGGCCACGCAGGCCAAGGAGGGGCGCTAGGGTTCACTGGTGGGTCACCGGAGGGAGGCTGCCTAGGCGGCCTGCGGGAGCCCATGCAGGAGCCCAAAGAGGCCCTGTTCATCTTGTCGGCAAGCTGGTCTAGCTCCTCGCCTGACTTTTCATCAGATTCGCTGTCACTTTCAGATTCTGAACTCCCCTGTTCACTCCTTCCCCAAGTAGAGACTTCTTCCTGCATGTTTCGGAGAACCTCCTCTCCCTCCTGTATTATCTCTCTGTACTTTTCTGACTTATCCGCTAGGCAAGATCTAACGAACATCCAGAACCCTACGGTCCTCGGTGGTAGGGGCTTATGCTGAGCCGCTCGGGCTAAGTCTTGACCTAAATGCTCCCACTGCGGCAGCGTTAGGAGTCCCTCCTCTAAAAACCACGGAGCATGCCGCTGTGCTATCTGCAAAAATGAAAGTACTGTCTGTGCCTTTACCGGCGTTCCATTCCTCTTCAGTAGCTTCTGCAGTAAACACTGCATGTGTACTGAAGAATTTGAATTCCCCATATTGTCACCACTTCCGGTGAGCTTACTCTTGTCGCTATCCCGTGAACCTAGCTTACGGTTCCCGCTCAAGGCGGCTCCCTGAGTCTCTGCTCAGCTCTGTTTCAAACTCCCTGCTTCTGCGGCTCCCTGAGTCCCTGCTCAGCTCCGTTTTGCGCTCCCTGCTTCCACAGCTCCCTGAGTCCCTGCTCAGCTCCTTTTCGCGCTCCCTGCTTCCACAGCTCCCTGAGTCTCTGCTCAGCTCCGTTTCGCGCTCCCCGCTTCTGCGGCTCCCTGGGCTCTTATCCCCGGCTACAGCTTACCTGTAGTTCCAATCTGAGTCACAGCACCAGAAGTCAGGGTCCCTTGGCCAGCAAGTCAAACCCGGACACTCGTTGTCTTTGTGGAACCTTTATTGTGGAGAAGACACAGCAAAACCGGCGCAGCAGCAGCCACACCATCGTGAGGCGCGTGCTCTTTCTCCCCTCCCCAGTTCTCTGGCTCCCTTATATATTGGGTAACCCGGCCAATCAACGTAAAGGTCACCTGTGCACGCAGCGGGCAGGCCAATCATCACACAGATCATGCGCTGTCCACGCGCCATCCACGCACCCCTGGGCCAATCACAGCAGACTTCCTGTGACTTGTTTTTTCTAGCACAGGAGGAAGCAGCAGTCTGGCGCCATCCGTCTAGGGTGTGGGATGCAGGCTCCCTACAGGAGGTGCCCACTATTTCCCTCTAAGGCCACTCCCACTCCCAGATCATGCACTGTCCAGGTGGTTCTGCAGTTTAACTTGACAGAATTAGCCCCCATGCCAGCTGATGCTGTGGCATAGCCCATCCCACCCTTACCAACTCTAATTTATGCTTACACGCGTAGGAATAGTTAGCCCAGCCTGGCTTTTCCCTGATCCAACTCGCATGTGTTGTAGCCCACAGGTGTTGTAGCCCACAGGTGTTGTAGCCCTGCCTGGTCTAATCAGCCCCATCCCAGCTCACGCTCTCCAATGGGAGTGGCTGTCCATTAGTGGAGCCCTCCTCATTCCTCCCAGCGGCTTTGCCCCTCCCTGGTTCTTGCGTGTGCTGTTTGGGTGTTATGGCCCAATCTGGCATGGTCCACCTCACCTTGGCATTTGCCAGTGGGTGTGGTAGCCTGGCCCAGCCTGGTCCACCCCTAATTCCAGCTGACACTGGTGGGGGTTACAGCCTAGCCCAGCTCAGCAGGCACCCAATCCCAGCAGTAATGTGTACTGGTATGTGTTGCGACCAAACCTGGCCTGACCCTCACTTTGTTTTGGTGCTTGGATTCACCAGCTGGTGATGTGAACTGATTAAGCCTGCTCCACTCCCATATACCAAATGTAAGCTGCTGGGTATCATGAAAACCGGGACAGGGGCAGGGATGCCTAGACAGAAAGGCAGCTGCCAGCATGTGTGTGGACTAGATAGTGGCGCTGGTTGGGTTGAACTAGACTTCAATGCCCATTGACATGTACGAGAGCTAAATGGAATGTGGGACAGACTGAACAAGTCTGTGGCACCTAGTGGCAATCATGGGAGCCAGGGTGGGGGCAGATCTGGTGGGGGTTATGGGGAGTCACCCCGACTAGGCAGCAACTCCCACTGGCTTGCATGAGGGCTGAATGTGAGGTGGACAGAATCAAGCTGGACTTTACCACCTACTGGTTTGTTTAGAAGACAGGTCTGGAAACAAAACTGACCCAGCAATTACAACCTCCAGTGTGTGCATAAGCTGATTGGGGTGAAGAACTGTGCCGGACCCTGTACTGGCAAGCACACACAAGAATCAGGTCTGGAATCACTTAGACAAAGTTTCTTTGTAGATCCCTCCAACTGAACTGCTGATCTCAGAACCCCAACCATGAAGAGACTATGTCAGCTAGTGGCTTCCGGAGAGATTTCATCGTGCTTGGAACAGCGAGATTAGCAGCAATTCAGAACTGTTGAACTATCAAAACTGCATGAGTAGGACCCTCAGAGGATACCCCACATCGGGGACCTGGGCTGGGTGGGAGGTTGGGTGGGGTTTTTCCATTTGTTTCTCCCCTGACCCTAGATACAGAAAATAACAACAACAACAATAATAATATTAATGTGGAAACATTGGTCTTACCCACTTTGCTGTAGCACTTGACCCTTTGTGCCTTAATCAACTATGTAAAGATTATTAAAGTAAAAGAATTAGAAAAAAACGGAGAAAAAAATTAATTCTAGCATCTATATATTATATTCTTACGAAGTATAAAAAGGGAAATCTATTAAGAATTTTACTTAAAATATTTTTACATAAAAATTTTTCTACTAGTGTAAGTCAGTGTAATAAGGGTATAATAAAAGATTAAGGAATGTAGTAACTAAAAATGTGAATAATCCACTTAATGCTAAATAATGGTAATTGTTGTTGGCAGTTGACTCTAAAATATTGAAAGAATTAACAAAGAAAAAAATGAATAAGCCAAAACAAACATATGAAACTAAAAAGGGTGGGGGGGGGGAATCATGTTACAGAGCAAAAAAAGATGAAAAATAAAAACAACAAAAGAGAATCGAAGAAGAATTTGGAACTGTTGTGCAGTATTCCCTTGCAGTATTTAAGATTTTTTACCTCCGTCCTCTGCCATCACTGACAGGTCACAGAATCAAGACAATATTTAATCACAGCTGCATTCCCCGTGAATCATCGATTGTTTCCGCCAGCAAGGAGAGCACAGAGGCAGAAAGAATCCTCAAGACCCAAGGAACGGGACTTGACTCAGAGCCCTGTACTCATTTCCTGCTGATTCAACTAGAAAGGGTTACTGAATTTGACTTGGGGAGAAAAAATGCTGCTGTTTACATCTCCAGGTAAAACACTCACCACCCACACTTGCTGTCTGCTGTGGCAATGCAACAGCTGCTTTCCTCAATATCTCATTCCCCAAAAGATTATGAATCCTATGCTTTGATAGTACAAAATCATTTTACTAAAATAATGATTACTCATAATAGGAATACATACAATTATCGCTGAGATGGGTTATTATAGAGGAGCAGCAGGGCTTGATTAATTTATCTGTGTTTTTCCATTGGATGATCCCCACGATACTATGAGCTAGATCCTATTAGAGTCTTCCTTATCCAGAGATGAGAACGCTGTGTTGTCCTGGCACATCACCAGTTAGTACTGATATGAATTGGCAGCTTCCAAATAAGGCAAATTTTCTGCCTGCTTTAAGCCCAGGAACTTAACCACTAGGATATATTCCAAATGGATTTCCATGTAACTCCTGCAGAAAATGAACCAAGCAGTGTAGAATAGTGCACCTCAAACTTCACCACACAGACAAACCACCTGTGGATATTAAAAGGTACATTCTGCTTCAGTTATTCTGAGGAAGGATTAGAGACTCTGCAATTTGAACCAGTCTCTGTGTGATTCCGGAACTCCTGGCTGGACCCACATCATGATAAACAAAGCTGAAGAGAACAACGACCCTACAGTCTTGTGGGGGCCTCACAGCACAGCCCTCCCACCCCCCCCAGGAATAGACATCATAAAACCACAACACTTCAGTAAAGGCATTTTTTAAAAAGAGAAACCACACAAGAAGTGAAGCTCAGCAATGATTTGGCCTAACTAAAGAATTTAAAGTACCTAGAGAAAAATTGGATAATCTAATAATAAAGAGCCTTATGTTCATGCCAGTCTGCATTTGATTGCAAAAAACAAATAAATAATAATCCTACTGGCTTCAATTAGAGAGGCAGGTTCTATGACGAGATCACATTGAGGTTGGAGATAAGTGCCAACTTTTCACATAACTCTGATTTGCTGGAGGCACTTAAAAGGCCAAGGCAGAGGGAGATTCTGAGAGAAGCAGGAACGACCTCCTGTTTTCCTGGCTAGAAAACAGATTTTTCTAAAATATCTGCTGCATGGCAGCATCTAAGAATAAAACTTGTCATTTCAATTAACAAAGGATAGGAAGGAACTTCTAAGAATGCTGCCTCAGAGCCCACAATTGTTTTAACAAAACTACATTATGTTCCATCCTATTTTGCCTTTCATTTAGAATCTGTTGCCAAGGAAACATCAATATCCAAGTCCATTCAAGGTAAATCTTTCTTCTTCCTTGTATTTGAAGTGATTCATTTAAAGACAGATACAAATTTTAGGGCTGTATTCATCTGGCAGTTGGTAGTTCGTTCTGATCACTGTGTCCTTGGTAAGTCAAATTGATAAGTACTCTGCCTAGAGCTGATTGCACTCTTCTGCTCTGCCAACTTAATTCTGGGATGTAGGGCTTGGATCTGGTGTGTGGTTTGTCATCCCATGATGCATGCTCAGGAATCAATAAGATCAATCTTCTGTGTGGTTACCCTGGAAAGGAAAGGAAAGGAGAGGGAGGAACAGTAGCTCCTTTTTCTCTTTTAGAAATGCAAGGTTAATACATGGCTTGACAAACACAAATGATGTAATGTGAGGGTGGTGTGGAATTTGTTTAAAAATTATATTCCTACCAAATATTCAATAATTATTGTTCTAGGTCTCATGACACATCAGAACTCATGGCCACAGAGATGGGTTCACTGAAACACGTCTATCAGGTTCTTCTTGGTCAAGGGCAACAGGTACGAGTCAGAGGTTTACACCATTCAAGGGTCTCCTTGAAAAAAAAAATTGGCAAACTTGTGAATCCAACAATGAGTATATAAGTACCAGGGATAAGCAAGGAAGTCAAAACAGATAAATTAAAAACTAACAAATACTACAAACACCCAAGCAGCCAGAAAACTTTTATAATTGTGTTCTTGAATTTTCTCCGACCCACCCACCCCTTTCTTTTTGGACATCATGTTCTTTCAACATATATTTTTTTGCATGTCATCCTTGCACAGGGGCCATTCTAACCTTCTCTCTATCATTCCAATTTTAGTATATGTGCTGCTGAAGCGAGCACTGAACATACATTTTTTTAAAGATATAATTTATTTTTAATTGAAAGGCAGAATTGCAAAGAGAAAAGGAGAGGCAGAGAGATCTGCCATCCACTGGCTCACTCCCCAAATGATCACAATGCCTGGTCCTGCCTGAGCAAATCTGAAGCCAGGAGTCAGGAACCTTTTCCAATTCTCCCATGTGAGAACAGGGACCACGTACTTGAAGCATTCTGTTTCTTTTCCTGGCCATAAACAAAGAGACTGATCAGAAGTGGAGCAGCCAGGACACTAACAGAAACCCATATGGTGCAGGACCACTTTGTCTGAACACCTTTTTATATTACCATTATTTCATAGCAACTATTATTCCTACACAGAGACCATCAAAAGACATCAGTATCTCTTTGAGAAAGGTTGTCCCGAATTTATTGGTTGGAAATATTCAAGTTTCACAACCTATCACTGAAAGCTTTGTAACTTCATATAGATGTTAAAGATTGTGATCAAGACTGGAAAGATTTCCACCAAGTTTCTTTAACATGTGAACTGTAGTATTTAGCAAAGAAACCCATCAAGCCACTTCTTCCTGGCCATTCCAACACAGACAGCTTGCAGTAATTCACTGAAGTGTAGAAATGTGAATCAAATACATTCCACAAATCTGAATTTGACCGATTCCCAGCTTAGCCTTCCCACAGCTGAAAGTCTAAGGAGGGCCGGGTGGCAGGGGGAAGCCAATGCCTGTGAAGGGCAAATATTCTACAGAAGTGTGAGCCTTGGTAGTTCAGCTTAAAAAAAAAAATCTTATGTTGTTTACTCTTCCAAAAAAAGCTGTGCTAGTGGGGTTTAAACTTGAATTCAACTTCATCTGCTTCCCTGACCCCTGAGTATAAACAGTTCTTTTTTCACTTTTTCATATCTGTCAACTTCATCATGATCACCTTCTGTTTTATTATTTGGCTTGAAGGAATATGTCATGTTTTTCAATATAAACTTATTTAATCCTTAACAATGATATGAAGGAGTTATTATCACACAGCTAGAGAACCTGAGGCTTTGACAGATTAAGCCACTATTCAAGTTCACAAAGCTGGTTCTCTCATTAAAGTTCCAACCTAGATTCATGCTAACACACACCCTGTGATGCAGCAGATAGATGGCTCAAGTACTGGGAATGAGCCTGCAAATAAAAATACCCTCTTTCTCTGTCTCCTCTGAAATTAAAAAATACATAAACAAAGATAAGATAAGCAAACTTCTTTGCAAACTTTAAATACTAGAACATAATTAAATATCAAAGCTACTTTGAGGACATAAAATGCTACACAAATGCATCCTAATACTAAGATTAGCCATGCCCTCAGAATATGCAGCTAGCTCAGATAATACTTTTCTCATTGGAAAGCTGGTGCGAGCCATTCCCCAATAGTTTCACTCACTTTTTAGTGCTTGACAAATAGCATTTTCTAATGAAACTCAAAACAAATGTTGCTATTTTTGAGTCAAGACTTAGATAGATCTTATCTTAATAACAAATAAGGGATCTAGTTTAGTATGTTTACTAGGATCTTACTGTATAGGTTTTACTCCAGAAGGTCCTGTGTGGTAAAGCATGGTTAATATGAAAGTGTCCTGTTTCAATTCAGGAGACTCCTAGTCAAGATTGCTTCTGGTTTCCTGGCTTATGCTCATTGTTTCAGAAAATAGAAGGGTGACAATTTGCAATTAAAACTAGCTCTGTGCAGAGTAACGTGCTATCTCAAATTCCTCTTGAAGAGTATGGGTACACTTGAAAATTCATCTCTAAGAGATCATAGACAGGCTTCCTTGTGGGGTCTTAAGTGGATCTGCCTTATGTTCCCCAAACATTTTCAAACAGGTGTGTCCCCATCATTACCAGAGAAATATAAATTAAGATTATGATACAATAAAATGAAATTGACTAGGATCACTTTTATTTGAAAACTGATACAATCCAATGTTGGCAATGACAGAAATTAGAATGTTCTTAAATTGATTGCAGGAGAGACCATACTCTGAAGGGTCGTTTCTATACCTCATTAAACTGATAGCAAGGGCATCAATAGACACTACCCTATTAAAAAAAACTAACTAAATGTGTATATATGTACATATATATAGCCAATAATTCAACAATTATACTCTAAGATATGAACATTGGCAAAAGAAAGAAATGCTTAGTATCCATCAAAAGATGTGGTAAGGAATGTTCATGGGCATATTTTCTTTCTTAACATTTCCAAAATAGAAACAATTCAAATACTCACTATAAGTAGAAAAGATAAATTGCAATATAATCAAACAATGGAATGATACACAAAATGAGAATAAACTAACTTGAATTGCACAATGAGGATAACTCTTACATCCAAACAATCCAGATACAACAAATCCATAGTATAATATTTGCAATGCAATCTATAAATAAATGATAGAGTATTCACAGCAGGCAAAACTCATCTGTAATGTTGCCTGTCATGATAGTAATTACCTGGTGGTTTTTGACCGGGAAGGGGTAATGTAGATGAATGTCTTGAATCTGCATGTTCATCTGAGTGGGGGTTTCTGGGTGACATATATGTAAAATTTATTTGGTTATAAAAATGTAAGATCTAAATACCATAATGCATGTTATACTCAATGTACAATATGTTGTAGACTGATATCAAGGCACACCTGCCTTAAAAAGAATAGAGATCAAGGCATCAGGACACATACACAGAAAACCTGACATAATCTAGAAAAGAGCTAACTAGCAACCACTACGACCTGAACCCAGGGTGTCTCTAAACCAGCATGACTCTTGCTGACTCTGTCTCTCCAATTCTGCTTCTCAATTAAAAAAAATGAAATACTGTAAAATGGCTATCATTGTAAAGGTAAAAATATATGTTCATAATTAAGATTATTGTCCTAGCGCTATATAAATGAGCATTTGTAGCTCAGAATAAGTTTACCAGGGTTGTATGTCAAAGAACATAGACTGAAATGAAGACTGAATCCTGTGGTAAAATCTAAGAAGAGTCAAAGTGGTTCCAGGGAAGACAAAATACTATTCCCAAAGAGTCAAGAATGTAGCTTATACATCTGGGACTTTCTAGATTGAACAGTTTAGAATTCTGTGATTTCTCACAATGTTCAAGTTGAACAAAGGAGGCAGAGCTCCACAGACATCATCCACGTGCATGCAGTATAAACTTAGCACTCAAGAGGGAGGCAGGTATTTGAAATACAACTTCAGAATTACATTGAATTCTGGTCTGACGTTTTTGTTTTCACATCTTGTTTCTGGGTTTATATTCCCAGGAGAAGTTTGTACTACAGTCTAAATACAATGGAAACAACTAATTAGATTTAGGGTTTAAAACACCACTTTTGAATAGGAATATGTGGTTTGTGCTCCAAAAAATAATAAAATAACATCTGTTCACTGTGTGCTATTCATAAACCCAGTCAGCCATCCACTAATTCATCTTTTGAGAAAGAGATATTAATCGCACATGGGAGCAATGCTCGTAGTACTGGTCAAAAATGAGGACTTTGGAGTCAGATGGCCAATATTCAAAATCTCATTCTGTCACATCAGGAACTGTATATACTACTTTCTTCACACATCTTTTTCTAAGCCAGTAAAATGGGAGTGACAATACCACCCACTTCACAGGATTTTTGTAACTGGCGAATGCTAAAGCCTACTGCAAACCGGAAAAAAAACATACACAAGGCAGGTATGCAATAAACGCTAGCTATTGTACTTGGTCCCTCTCTCTTTTGTTGACAACAAAGCCTTTTCTACCCCCTCTTTTTACAATACAAAAGTGAACACAATGAAATACCCTAGAAACCCAGTAGAGTAGAAAATTGAAATGTAGAGCCACAAAAACAAGCTTATTTTAAACAGAGCACCACATGTCTTAGATTAGGCTAATGATGAGTTTAGCTCCTTCAGTGGAACAGTGGGTGCCACTAACACATCTAAGAAGCCAAGTCTCTGGTGTGACAGGTTGCTTCTTTCTTCCTCCCACCACTTTCCAGAATGCTCCCTGACTTGACTGAAACTTAGCTGAAGTGAGCAGTAATAAAATCCAAATAAAATACTTCTCCATCCAGAAGAGATCAAATACAGATCCCAAGAAAACATCTAAGAAACGCCTTCTTATTTTTTTTAAGATTTTGTTTATTATTTTTATTGGAAAGTCAGACATACAGGGAGGAGAGATAGAGAGCAAGAAGATCTTCTATAACTGATTCACTCCCCAAGTGGCCGCAGTGGCTGGAGCTGAGCTGATCTGAGGCCAGGAGCCAGGAACTTCTTCCAGGTCTCCCACATGGGGACAGAGTCCCAAGGCATTAGGCTGTCCTCAACTGCTTTCCCAGGCCCCAAACAGGGAGCTGGATGGGAAGCAGGGCCACTGGGATTAGAACTTGTGACCATGTGGGATCCCAGCGCAAGCAAAGCAGACTTTTAACCGCTAGGCTACCACATTGGGTCCTCAAGAAACACTTTCTTGAAGGATTCTGAACAGTTCCAAGATGATACAAAGTTAGTCACAAAACAATGCTAAAAGCAGCTTCTGCTGAAGGTTGTTCAAAGCATCGTAAGGTTGCTGTGGGAAAGTGAGAGGAAGAGCTCGTGTTCTGGGAAGAGCACACAGGACACGTGTTACAGTTTACTAAAACTCCTTGTTCTCTGGCAAGAGCTTGC